ATCTTTCTTTTCTTTTCTTTCTCTCTTATATATTCCTTTTATTTCTTTCCTTCCAATTCCTTCTTATCTTTCTATTAATTCCAATTAATAAAAATTAATTTCCAACATTAATAAAAATCCCACTAAATCAATTAATTACTACAATTAATTATTTAATGAAATTTGGGCTGTTACAAAGGTCGTCTAAACGAACCGTAACTGAAAAGATCGGAAATGCGATAAGCCAAGATGGAATATCGAATCCAATAGGAAAACGAATCAAAATTTGAACACCAATCAATACAATTTTATTCACTTAAGGTTGTGCAATTTCCAATGTCTTGTGAAAATAAAACCCAAATTGACAATAGCCCAAATGGTTTGTGTTCGATCAATTTGTCGAATACTTGGTGTGCAAAAAATTCCAAGTGAAATTCTCTAAGTAATACTAGTGCAGAACTTTTCCAATTATAACCAAAAGGATTGTAATGAGCTTTCAAAATATTTTTCAGCACTACACTATACCAGAATTTTATCGAGCAATTTTAATGTACACAAACGTTAAAAAATCAGAAATGGAAAAATAGCGAAAGAGAGAAAAACACCAAATTTTTTTAGGCAGTTCCCCCTTTGTCCTCGCTTGAGATACATCTGCCCTTAATTCTAGCAGTAGAATTGAGATCTATATTAACATGTTGCAAAAGTTTGTACAAGAGAAGCAATAGTAATCAGACACTCAAGCCTAGATGTTGATGCTAAAACTATGTCTTATCTCCCCTTGATTCAATTCGAATCAAGTGCCTCGAATGTGTTAAATAAACCTCTGATTTCAACTACTCGTCTGAACAACCCAACGGTCTTCAAATCTTTAGCCCGACTGATTTTGATCACGCATAATTCGAACCCAAATCTTTCTTTCACAATCATCCGGTTACCGCTACTAGATTGACCGAACCACCCATTCTTCAATCACCTTCGCTCGGTTGAATCTGTGAAGAAATTATTTGTGCAAAAACCCCCTAAAACCTTAAGTTTCTTAGAGGATAAAAGCTTAATGGTTTTATTCAAGAAAAACCTATTGATCTCTCAACCCAAACCCGATACAATATCCTATGTTTGGACGTTATCACCTCAATGATGCAGAATGATAAACAAAAATTGTTATGTGTAGTTGTTGAGAAAATGCAAGAAAGAGGATGAAAATGATGAGAGAAAATCAATGTCTATGTTTTACTTTTCTTGTTGGTTATTGAAAGAATGATCCTATATATATATATATATATATATATATATATATATATATATATATATATATATATATATATATATATATATATATATATATATATATATATATATATATATATATATATATATATATATATATATATATATATATATATATATATATATATATATATATATATATATATATATATATATATATATATATATATATATGAAGCTAATACCAAGTATCAAACATAACAACAATTTGAAAGTCAAACATATTAGAAAAATAAGGTGATTCGAGCGAACAGTCAACCTAAAGAAAGAGGGGGTCGACCTGAGCGCACCCGCTTTCAGAATTATGCCGAAACTGACTCTATGCGTCGACGCAAACCTGCCCAAAAATGACAAATTTAAACACTAACAATATGAGTCGACTGGAGGGTCGATGCGAGCACTCCTGAGAGCAAAAGCTCAAAATCCACCTTGCATGCTTCGACTTAAGCAGGGCTTTGAGGCGACTCAAGTGCTCAAAACTTCCAAAAATGACATTTTTGAACATGTCTTGGTATATCTAAACACTAGTAATGCACATCTAAGTTTTTCAAAAGGATCAAACTCACACAAAACACATATGATGCGTTTCTATATGAATAGACTCGTGTTTTTTTATAAATATTTTTGTGCACGAGAGAACTACGAATGCAGATGAGACTCGATGATACCGTCCAAAATATAAAGTGTTAACTCGACACGTTTTGACATCATTAAAATATAGATTGAGACAACTTGCCCTCACAGCCTTGACCATCTTCTTTTGTTGCAGCTGTTCTCACCCCTTTGACAAGTCGAATTCTTGAAACTTTAAAACTCTCTTCCGTCAAAATTCTAAAAATTCCTTTTACTTTTCATGAGCCATTTTCCTTTCGATCTCTTCTCTTTCTCGTTGAAGCGAGCATGTAAAGCGATCTCTTCCTTTGCCTTATCAACATTTCTATCTTTAATCCTTTGTTCATGAGCCTCAAGAGAGCTTTGCAACTCCTATTTGTTCATCGTCGCAAGATCTTTCGATTCCTCAATCGCTACAACCACGTTGTCAAATCTTGGCATTAAAGAACGCAAGATTTTAGCGACAACGTGCTGCTTCTTGATTGTTTCTCCACAAGTATTCACTTGATTCACTAATAGACTGATTCTTGTTGTGAAATCGTTTATTGTCTCCTTTTCTTCCATTTGAATCAATTTAAGTTAACGTTTGTGAGCTTGTAATCTCACCACTTCGCCTTGTCATCCTCTGCGTATGTTTTCTCTAAGATTTCTCACGCTTACTTTGATGATTCGCAATCACCAACTATCTCAAAGTTGTCACCATCCACACATTGATGGATAAAAATAACGTCTTGAATCTTTCTTCTTCTATTCCTTATGTGTTGCTCGTTGTACATCCGTTTCACCTTGAAAAAGAGGATTCACCTCATTCTTGATCACTACAAGAACATCTTGGTAGCCAATTAAACTATCATTTGTTTGCACTATTTATCGTAATTTTGTGCATCAAGGATGGATAGATTTGCATAATTCTTTCATTAGAGACATAATTTATGTTGCACACTAGGTGTTTGTAGATCAGAAGGCTTTGGATGCTAAATCTTAAAACTTGTAACCACAAGATTGGTGAATAATGGAAAAATTAGAGTGGAGAGAGGGAGAGAGGAATTGAGAGATAGATCATTGAGGGTGAGAATGTATATTTCACTAAACTTTGATGAGGATGTCTTCAAGACATATATATATATATATATATATATATATATATATATATATATATATATATATATATATATATATATATATATATATATATATATATATATATATATATATATATATATATATATATATATATATATATATATATATATATATATATATATATATATATATATATATATATATATATATATATATATATATATATATATATATATATATATATATATATATATATATATATATATATATATATATATATATATATATATATATATATATATATACACACACACACAAACATTACAAGATGATTTAGAAACATGTTACACAGTCAAATAATTGAATTCTCATACCTGTAATCGGTTACACTAAATTTGTAGCCGATTAAACTGCTACAAAAAGAAATCATTTAAATGATAATCGGTTACACCTACGATGCAACTTCAATTTCTTCAACTCATAAGTGATTTTCGTTCAGTGGTAACCAGTTACACCCCGTATTAACCGGTTACATCGCTTAAATTATCAAATTTCATTTAACATTTAAAACATTAATTGCTATTGTTTTTTCTAGTACTTACGTGTTAAAATTTTGAACTATGCATTGAAGTATAATTTACATGCAGGGAAACATGATGCATGCAACTCTGCAGAAAACACTCATATATAGGTTCCAAAAACAACTCACAAAAGGTTAGGTATACCTTGTTGCCGCATTTGATGTGGCCATAACAAACTGAAGAATATTTTTCAATTGGGTACATTTATAGGTTGGAGGTAACTCAAAACATTAAATTTTTTAGATCTGACAATGTTATATTTCCAGACATTGTCTATTTATAGGTTGGAGGTAACTCAAAACATTAAATTTTTTAGATCTGACAATGTTATATTTCCAGACATTGTCTACTCATTCACATGTTTAACCTTGTTTAACCAAAGGTTTCTTGAATCATTGCAATGACAAACACAATGAAGGAGCGATTATCTTTCAGACCGTGTATGGAGCACAATGTCAAGTAGATCATGTTACGGCACAAAGCTATGACAAACAAGTCAAAATAAAAACTTAATCTTTTCAGGAGACAAAGCTTCCAAATCCAAGACCAATATTGAGTGTTCGTGTTAGCAGCAGATAAACCTTCTTTGTTTCCGAGGATCCATGAGTATCCACTCTTTGTAGTGTATATTCCATTTATAGTATCAAACCAATCGAAGAGTCTTCCATATATTGGGGTTGAAGATAAAGAAGTTCTTGTGAATGAAAGCACAAACTCAAAGATAATATTATGAGTAGAAATAATTATGTGGGAAATCATTGTTGAATATAAATCTTTAATTGTTACAGTAAGATCGTAGGTGTGAACATACGAGACAAAAGCTATAAGAGGACCAAGAGAAATCTGGTGCCAATACCATGAAGAAGAGTCTGAAGCCCATCATTTAACACTCTTCTCCTTAACAATGGAAGTTCATATGGAAGAAACTGCAGTGGCAAAAATGGAAAGCAAACAGAGACGAGAAAAATACTTTTTAAGAGGAGTTTATCAACTTCTTGAAGCAGTTCCAAATAAACTTGTGTTGATATAAAATTCTGATTGTATAATGTCAGAAGTTACATTTGAACTCAAGGTCTTTAAGTTGAAAGGCACTTGAATTCCTGACCTAGCTTTTTTGGGTCTTTTATATTCTTATTTAATCATTAATAGAAAGAGTAAAATTTTACATAGAAACAAATTTGTATCAAGATAAAATCTTGTTGTCATTTTCAATTATTTCATTAATTAATCTCAACAAAACAGGGTATAATTACCACCACAAATGCAATGCACACAATACTTAGCCTCGCTATATGCATCAATAGGTACATGTATAAAATTGGACAAAGTTGGTCCAAAGCTAAACTCTGTCATAATGAATATATATTTAGAGACACAGAGAAATAGTAATGGAATACAAAAGGCTTATCACCACTAAGAACGCCGTGTTTTTTGGTCAATTTTCTGTCTCTGGTGCGACTATGCCACAAAAAATAAGAAAACCATAAGAAAAAACATCAAGACAAAGAAAATCTTGATCATCAGCCACCTATTAGAAGATATGCTATTCAGATACTTCAACAAAGCCCCTTGTGCCCCCTCTACATTTGTCAAAGTATCATCCATGTTCTCATCAATCCTGCAAATTAAGTTCCTCTGTAAGCCCACCAAAATCTCAATTGGCCAATATGAAAACAAAAATCAAGCAAAAGACAATTCACCTATTAGCAATCAAAATACACATAATTGATGTACCCAAAAAGTACACATAAATGATCATTTTATCAATCAAAGTACACATGCAATTATTTCCATCAAATTCCTAGCTATAAATGAGCATCAAGGTTGTCAAACAAGCAAGTTCAAGCAAACCCCGTCTTTAGATAATAGCTGATAATACCCTAATGTGGGTAGGGGATACACAAAGATGGTATATTGGTGTGAGTATACTATAGGGTCAATCCGCCCAACCCTTGCCAACACAAGATTGATGCTTTTATAGCTACCAATAAATTCCATTATCTTAACTTTTTACCATTTAAACTTATTCCTAAACATGCAAGTTATCTTGTATGAGATAGTATATTACTTTCACAATTACTACTTCAAGTAATTTATAAACTTAAGAGTGAAGAATCATTGTGGCCCCTAAGAAAATTTGAGACTCAATTTGGTTCTTTACCAAAAAACTACAGAGTATTTAGTCCTTCACAAAATTACACCCAGGGACACTTTAGTCCTTAACTGAACTATCATCGAAAGAATTGATTTTTATTTTGCCGACATTTAATGTTCTCATCCACTGTGTCACCATATTGCCTATGTGTTATGTGATCAAATTTTTATGTGTTAGAATGTCCATTAGTTTGATCAAAATCACATTGAAAACCACATCAACTCAAAAGCTCCAAATAGTTGCTTCACTGTTTCACAGTTTTTTTTTACATTGGGATGCAGTTTTCCAACATGATTTGGTTTTCTAACATGAATAACACATATTGATACCCGATCTAAATCCCTAAATTGTCCTCCTCAAAAACACATGAACATCCATTGATGCGTATTTAACCCAATCTATTCTCTGACTTCTATATCATCTCAAATTTATTATTTTTGGCTTCCATATTCCTCTCTCTCTATATAGCCTACCAAAATCAACAACTTTGAAAATGAGATCTATGTTGCATATAACGTCCTCTGCGAAGTGAGTATTTTATCTCTTGCAATGTTTTTGGTAAAACCAAAATCAGCAATTTTGGGATTGAAATCTCATGAAGCTTTTCAGATCGTAAGGTCTTTTATTTTTTTTATGAAACAAATATCCATCAATTGATCCATTTCTCATGTATTCATAACAAGTGTTGTCATGTTTCTTTCAAAGCAAAGTTCATATAGTAACAAGTTTAAAGTGATGAAGGTGTTTCAATGGAATTTCACGTGTTTAAGGAAGAAGATACAATTTAGGAATTTGAGCAAGGTATAGGAACTAAATGGTCTCTTTTCAACTATTGTCAATGATCATATTGTATTTGTACATTAATATATCACATCACACAATAGGCAACATAGTGACACATCAGATTGACACCATGAATTAAAAGCATTACATGTCATTAAAAAATCCAATTTTTTATGGATATTCAGTTAGGGACTAAAGTGCCACGTTTATTTGTGAGGGACTAAAAGACTAATAGTTTCATTTTTTTTATGTGAGGGGCCAAATTGAGTCTCGGATTTTTCGTCGAGTGAATTTTCACAATATGAGAAAACCCCGCCTTGGTTAGTTTGCTATACATAGCCGGTCCCAAGCCCAGATAAAAGGAGAGGGTTGTGTTAGGCAGGCAGCAGCCAACGTAAATCTTTGTCGAATCTCTATGACATGGATCAACTACACTTAGTGGGATAAGGCTTAGTTGTTGTTGTTGTTGAGAAAGGTGGGAAGAGTGTGGATTCTAAAACATTTATTACAGAGTACGAGGCATGTTCAGATTATAATCCCTATACAGGGTTAAATTATATAAAAAAAACACCTACTTGCAAATTTACATGCCTAACAAATAACATATACCAGATAATCATACCAAAAAAGTATTACAAAGATCTAAAGAGAACAAAACAAATACCATATGATCAATAAGATTTTATCTTCATAAGTTCATAATTACAAAAGGGAAACAAATTTATATTTCCATAATCATATAAGGAATCTAAACGCCCAAAATGAAACTGTTCACAACTTTAAGATCATAATTAATTCATAATATCTTACAAACTTCTTTGAATCTGATCATGACAATCTTCTTGATAAAAGAACGTTTTTAAACATGTATATTATCGAGTTAATCAGTTCAAAGGCTTGAAAACATACATTTAGAGGCTTTAACGCCTTCTACTTATCAGTTCATCAATTTTTTTAAATAGGATTCAGACAAACTGATAAGTTGATTATAAAACTGCATTCAGAATCAGGAAACCTAATCAAGATAAATTCAAGCATTAAAAGGAAAAAGAAAAAAATTGCTACCTCTGACACTTCCACCAGAAAATATCGTCAAATCAATACTCACCAATCATCAAAGATTCAATAAGGAAAAGCACTAATTAGTTTACAATGCCATACTCCTATGTATATCATTTCCGTGGCAAGACCATTACATTTCTAAAGGAGCAAATGGGACCAATGAAGTAATTAAAGCAATAGGCAAAAGGGAAAATCACGGGTTTCAAGCATGTTAGAACAAAGCACATATGAACAGCCACTCATTAGAAGGCAATATAGGTTTTGTAACATTTTTCTCAATCTATTCACTTTTTAATTAATGGTTATCCACTTGCACTTTACTACGTTATAAAGTTCTCTTTGTAAATTAAAGGATGCAAAATTTCTATACAACCCTTTTTCTGCTCATGAGTAGCTAAATAAGCAATTTAATAGGTATCAAAACTTTTTAGTTAATATGTATTAAATAACTCAATTTTCTGTCAGAGCCACAGGCGAGCAACCTTACGTGCAAGCACACTTGCTTTTCCTCTCTAAGGCTCGCCAGGTGTTTTATATTAGTTCAATTTTTATGCAAGTAATTCTTTCCTCAATCCTCAAAGAGCAGACAAACAGGCATTTCAAACAACATGGCATACCAAAAGACCACAAATTTATTGTTAATGAAGACTAAATGATCAAATCATCTTGCACAAATAACCACAAATCAAAGCTATAGTTCTCTACACATATCAAAGCCCTAACTTAACTCAACTCTTAAGGTTAATAACTGCCACAGATTCATTTGGTCAAAAATTTACTTAAGAACCAAGCAAGTCTGTAGATAACAGTAACACACATCATAAATCGTGTTGGAATAAAATAATAAAGGATAATAGACAAGTGAGGCAAATAGAAAACCTGATGGCAATCTCTCCTTGTTGGGAGACAAGTGTTGCTAGTTGATTAAAGATGCTGCCAAGCTCGTGAATAGTGGACTCAACATTTTGAAGAGCTTCAGCTCTGCTTTGCATGTAAGTGTCCTGCAATGGAACTACCTGTTGTTGTTGCTGCTGTTGTTGTTGTTGCAGCAATGGTTGACTCTCCCCATCCACCTGCTTCCTGTGGAATGTGTATGTGAAGACCGTGAAAAAGTAATAAAAAAATGTAGGAAAGTAGAGTTGAAGATATAACTCAACCAAACTTGGAAAAAAAAAACTCAAAATGCCAGTACAACTAAGTAATGATTAGTCTTTTATAATAAATCATCAACCATATCAAACCATATAATAATAAATCAAAATATTTTTTGTATCTCTTCCCTCTTTATTTAAAACCTTATCACTTTGAACAAATACAAAACTCATGGTATGAAATTAATATAAGTACAATAGCTATCTACAACATAGTTTTTGAAAATTGAATCATTCTTAGGATTGTCAATTGCAGACCTCGGAAAGTAGTGGTTTGTTCAAATTCTGCTACTCCAAAAAATTCTCTAGTGCCGCTATTTCACAATAGTTTATACTAAATAGCACATTTCGGAACAAAAGCAAATTGTTGAAATTCCACTATGCAATAGTGCTATAGCAACTATTTAACAACACTTCATACTGCAACAAACATCCAAAGAGAAATAATCGATAAAAGGCGGGTGACCACATTATTATATTATAGTATTTTACTCTATTTACTTGATAAACCGGGTTGCTTGGAATCGCTTGTTTCTTGGAACAAAATCTATGCATCGATAATCTAAACAAGCATGACAAAAGTTAATTTGATAAATAGCAAAGTGATTCAAGTTATCTTATATGCTTGCTTAACTAAAGCCTCTAACAGTACAATCAACAGAAGAAGAAAAAAGAGTATAACTTACCCACTAGCCCATGGAGGCGCAGGAGCATTAGAAGTACTAGCCGCAGACTTTGTAGCTAAAGGACGTTGACGAATGAAAGGATTTGCAGAATCCTTAGAAGCAGTGGACGAAAACAATTGTCTTCTACTCTCATGCGTTTTCAAGTTCTTCATAAAAAAATTAAAAAACCATCATAACAAAATCGTCGGCAATTACTATAGCACAAGCACACAAATACAAATTACAACCACAATACCTCAGTTCTCATGGTGAGAACATCTTTAAACTCTTTCGTGGTGCTCATCAATCGAGTCTTTAAATCATCCACAACTGTAGTGGAATGACTAGTTGTATCGGTAGAAACATTTCCACTCTCATTTCTAGAATTGCTGATTAATTGAAGATCCACAACCGCAGAGTTAAGAGCGGTAATATCTTGCTTAATAACACTGGTTAGTTCTTGAATTTCCATAGTTGGATCATCAAAAACCGAAGTCCTTTTCGCCACTACAAATCCAAAAAATAAAAAAATAAAAATTAACTAAGACACACTAATCAGCATTAACAATACATGAAGAATTGGATTAAAGTGAATATGAATAATTACATTTGGCGAGCTTGGAAAGTTTCTGAGAGGTTTGATGAATTCCATATCCAATCTTGGAAGCTCTTCGATTAAACTCTGATTGAATCGCAACGGCGGATCGAGGATCGTCGGATCTGGAAGAAGAAGAGGAAGAAGGAGAAGATGAAGAAGGAGGATGATGAGTGCTAGTGGTGGCTCCATTTGAGGTTGACGATAGTGATTTCTTCAATCTCTCTGCAACGGTGTGGAATTCATGTGTGCGATCTCGAAATGAGGATTGCGTTGATTTGAATTGCATCTTGTGGAGCGATCTGTGTTGAAACCCTAGATCTGATTGGAATTGGAGTGTGTATGGGTTAGATTGATTGAAGATATGATGAAATTGTTCATATGATTAGAAAGAGGGAGAAAGAAGATGAGGTGTGTCTTCTCTTAACGGATTTGGGATTTGGAAATGGAAGATCCAGCTTTCATGTTGATTATTGTTAAAACATAAAATCATATGCTTACTACTAGTCACCATATATTATTGTTATTGTTTTTGTCTAAAAAATAACAAATTAATTAATCTTGTGTTGTCATTATTTTTATATTTTTTTATAAGATTTTAATTATTATGTAATGTTGGTTCATCAAAATCATTTATGTACATGATTTCAAACCATAGTAATAATAAAAAAATTAAAATATTTTTATCTCGTCTAGATATGTATTTTGCAATTTCACTTATATTTTGCAATTTCACTTGTCAGCTATAAACTTTATTTTGCAGTTTATAAATATTCACATAGTTTTAAAATTTTACTAATAATTTGTATCAACTTTTAAGCATTGATTTGTATTTATAATAAATCATATAATTGTTTTTTCAACATTCAGTTATATAAAATCGAATAAAAGAAAATTTGTTAAAACAACAATTTGATTAAAAAAATATGGACGAGAGGTATATGGATATATATATTTTGATATAAGTGAAGAAAAGAAAGAGAGAATGTGACATGATTAATTCAAAAAATGCATGATTACTTCATTAATATTACCATTCATAACAATAATGTTTAAAAACAAGTTGCATTTCAACAGGAAAGAAAATACAAATGTGAATGATAAAAGTTGATCCAATGATTGTCAATTCTGAGGATGTCCTCTTGTCTAAACCATTGGCTTGAGGAGATGCCTCTGAAGTCTTCAAACTCAATCAGGCGAGAGGTTGTCGTGCACAACCAAATTTCCTTCTTGAAAGGGTATGTACCCTTTATCAATTAACTATTGCATTTTGGCTTGGAAGGCTTTGCAATCTTCAGTTGAGTGCCCCATTAATCCAGCATGATATCCACATTGCACATGAGGATCGTACCCAAGAGGGTAAGATTCTGATAATGGCTTAAGAGAATTTGGAACCACCAACAAGCTTTGAATCAGACGTGGCAAGAGTTGACTGTATGACACAGGAACTAGATGAAGAGGAGTGTTCCTTCTTTTCAAGTTGTCGTGAGGCCTAAGTTGATTCTAACGCTGATATTAATACCCTCGGCCATGGGCTCATTGATTTGCATGAAGAGCAATCCAAGGTTTCTGGTACGAACCTCTAGGCATGGTTGGTTGCCCATAAGAATATCATGACACTAGAAATGATTATTGCTGAGAAGATGAAGGACCATAAGATTTTGTTAGTGCACCATGAGGATACTCGATATCTGCCATGACTGCATTAATTACATACTATTTGTCCACTTGGGAGCTGCTGAGAGATTCAGTATTGTAAGCTTGACTGCTCAATGCATCTTGAATTTGTCCTCTCTTGAGATTGCTCTCGATGTGTTCTCCACCTTTCACCAGTCAGAGAAGTCAAATGATGAAATTCCAACCATCCTTTCAAAGTATGGGCTCTGCAAAGTATCCATGAACATGTCAACTAACTTTCTGTCTATAAGTGGTGGTTGCACTCTGGATGCCAATTCTCTCCACCATTGCACATACTCCTTGAAAAATTCACTACTCTTCTGAGATAGGCTTGCCAACTGCATGCGACTGGGAGCCACGTCCAAATTGTACTGGTATTGTTTCAAAAAGGCACTGACTAAATCCCTCCATGATTGGATATGGCTTCTTTCTAAATCCACGTACCAACTTAAATATGCTTCATCCAAACTATCTTGAAAATAGTGAATCATTAACTTATCATCGTGGGTAAAGGAAGTCACTCTTTGGTATAACATCACCAAATGACGCTTTGGGCAATTAAGGCTTATGTACTTCTCAAAGTTGGGCACCTTGAATTTCGGATGGATTAGAAAATCTAACACTAGGCACATATCAATGGCATCAAACTCAAGCGTGTCATGTACTTCCATAGCTTGCAATTTCTTTTCTAGGGCACACAATCTTTCCTTCATAGGATCAGTTAATGGCATCCTTTGGGATTGGGTAGGAACGTTTACTCGTAGAGGATCGTCATCAAGCGGAAGGTCGTACAATGGATTGGTCGTGATAATAAATCCTGGTGGAGGCTCAACATTCTCTACCCCAACATGCTAAAGGTTGTTCCTTGACATAGCTACCAATGGCTTCCAACTTGGTCTTTTCAGGTGTCTACCTTGATCTTGCTTCAAAAACTTTGTCATCTTTCAATAGCTACTACTTGTTCAAAACGGGTACCATGAAATCAGCTGACTGGTCATGGATAAATGTGGAATGAGTTTTGTGGACATGATATGCAATGGTGGTGGATGCAAATGCAATGGATTTAATGCAATGAGATGCCATGTTTAATTACTTCCAAGGAATCTACATACTTTAATTTAAGTTTTAAGTGAGAGAAAAGTTCAACGACAAAATTCAAAGACAAGATCCTTGGAAATAAGAGGACATGTATGCTACGAATATGATATGGTGCCATGAGTGCAAGGAAATTGGATCAAAGCCTCCACATATACTGGATAACTGACATACTGATAAGGGAACAGGTCCAAAAGTTCGCCTCCATACGGAACACAAGAAAACTAGGTAGGATGGAAGTCGAAGTTTCCTACAAAAAATCTCATCCCCTCTCACATGTGGGTTCTAATCAAACGTTTCGGTACACCCTAAACCTTTCTTGCCATTTATGCTAACTCCATAGATCATGGAAGCTATTTTGCTTCTATCTATGCTTTTAGCCAGAAAGTACTGGAATGTTATATCATACTTGTTGACATAACAAGTATCAGAGACATTGGAGAATAATTCTTCTTCTAGTTTATAAATTTTGCTTTTTAAAGCACAATTACTATTTTTTAAAGAAAAAATATTTTCATTTAGAGAAGAATTATTCTGCTCAAGCTTATCTCTAGCTTCAAAAATAATTACATGGGATTTTTTAAGATCCTTGTATTTACTTTGAAGAGTTTGATATCTTTCTACCATTTTTGAAAGACATGACTCTAATTCACAACGAGAGAGTTTTGATAATACCTCTGAGTCAGAGTCTAAGTTTGATTCTGATAGAATTTTGTCTTCTGGTTCTCCAAAAACTTCAGCGTCAAATGTTGTTGCCACTAGCGCAACATTTGCATGTTCTTCATCAGAGTCTTCTTCTTCAGAATCAGAGTCATCACACGTTGTCATGAGTCCCTTCTTGACTTTGGTGAAATTCTTCTTAGGCTTCTTGTCTTTCTAAAGCTTTGGATACTCGTTCTTGTAATGACCTGACTCATTACACCCATAGCAGATGACTTCTTTTTCAGAACTCTGCTTCTTTTGTCCAGATGATGAGTCAACACGACTTTTGTTCCTTCTAGATCCTCTGAAATTTCCTTGCTTATGTTTCCAGAGTTTGTTGATCCTTCTGGAGATAAGTGGTAGCTCATATTTTGAGTCTTCATCAGAATCTTCTTATTCTTCCTCAGCTTGATAAACCTTTTCCTTTTCAGGTTTAGACTTAGGAGCAATAGATTTACTATTCTTCTGAGGTTCATCTTCCTCCAGCTCTATCTCATGACTTCTTAAAGAACTAACAAGTTCTTCAAGACTTATACTATTCAGATCCTTGGATAGTTTAAGAGCAGTTACCATAGGTGATCGACCACCATTTCTACTATGTCTCTGTCCCTTATTTGGCATTTCATCCATGAATCGGTAATATTTTGTTTGTTCTTTTTATCGTTTTTAAGTAAATCTATATGTTCTTATTTTGTTCTCGAAATTTATGTTTTCTGGTGTTATTTCACTTTTTGTTATATTTTACACGTTTGGTTGTAGTTTTGATAATTTATGGTCCATGCGGAAAAGGCCAAAAGACTCATGTGAAGAAAATAGAAATTTCAAAAAGTCGGGGGAGTTTTTAAAAGAAGGACAGTGGCCTGACACGGCCACCCGTGTCACCCGACACGGGCCGCATCAGGAGGAACCCAAAGAAAAGAAATTGGAGTGATAGACAGTGGGATGACACGGCCCGTTTTATTAGGTATGAGAAAGTTTTCTTTGCATCTCATATCCAGGATGTCAATACAGCCGCCCGTGTCACCTAACACGGCTCGTGTTGGCTTGGTCGTGTCAGCTTCCTATTTTCTTGTTTTTGTGAGCTTTGTGATTTATGAGGGTATTTTGGGGATTTCTCTACTGCTGTGTTGGACCTAGGAGTATTTAAGACGTGTTTTGAGAAGGAAAAAAAAGACTTTTGACGATAGAGAAATATTACGATCAAGATTGGAGAGATCATGAGAAGTCGGGAACAGAAATTTTCAGGAGCCTTCGCAATTGAAGATCAAAGTAACCATTATTCTTGTAATGTTTAATGTGATTATGATATTATCTTCTCTGATTATTATGAGTAGCTAAACCCTCAATTACTATGGGGTGTCCCTGAATTGCTTATGTAAAGATATTGTTCTTCTTGTTTTAATGACATAAGTGCTTATTTTCATAATCATTTTTTATGGTTCGATGTTTTTACTGCTTTTTCAATCAGACAAATTGAAATAGATTTAGGGTTAACCTTAGTTCGGACAAATCTTCGTTAACGCTTTTGATCGATAATGCTTTAGTAGATATTACCTAGGACTAGGAATACCCTATTGCACTTGGAACACTGTTGACATTATTTGTAACGCTTGATTCCAAACGTAATTGCCTACGGACATAATAATTAGGTTATGAAATTAAGAGGTTTTCTCACTAAAGACTTAAGAGTAAATAATTTATAGTCAAGAATTTGATAATCTAAGTCATGTCTTTGAAATAAGAATTGATATTGTTACAAGGCAATTCATACACTATCTCTAGCATGCTTCTCATATTTGTCAAAAACTTTTTTAT